AGTAATCCTGCGCTAATCATTTTGTAATCCGACAAATATTCCGTCTAAATATTTTCTTTTCTTGGGAGGGGAGGATGGCCGGTAAAAAACCGATCTGTCCGGGTGTAATTCCCGAAGAACCGTGGCGCTTTTAGCGCGAAGGCGAATAGAGGAACGTATTGTGAAACGTGCGAGAAAAATAAAGTTCGCATCAGTATGAAATACCTTTGGCACTCATCATTAAGAATCTGCCTCCGAGTTCAACAAAACAATTATATGATAAATTTATAGATGACATATTATATGATTTTAAATTCATATTATATTAAATGTTTTTTTTCTTCATCTGTTGCAGAAATCATTCGATTTTAATAATTTTCAAAAAAATGGTCTTACGAAGTAAGTAATCAGTAAATATTTTTTCCTATTATTCTAATGTTTTCAATTTATAAGGTATTATTCCTTTTGCATAATGTGACTTGTATAATACTAGTTACGCAATTACGTAAACTTTCAAAAGTTAATTGCTGCAATAAAATTTTCGGAACCTTCTTCTATTTTTAAGTACGTATATTTATAAACGATAAACCTTTCATAGCTAAATCTTCGTGATAATATTTTTTGTGTAATTTTACATACATTTCCAAGTTCATTATACTGTATGTATACCATAAATATTCAGTCTTAAATATATCTCGAAAAACTATCATCCATCCTAAAACTATTCAGTAAACTATTCAGTAACTTGATTTATTGTCCAAAAACTGCTTTTTTTATTAATTAAGAATTTATTACTTAAATGTGGAAACATTTTAAACATTTATATCATTCATTAAACATTTATTTAACATTTTTAAACATTTATTTATAACATTTTAAAAATTATTTAAATGTTTTTATATTTATTTATTTATATATTTCAACATTTATTGCGTATATTATTTATATTTAAATATTTATTTCATTTAATAAATACAAAATGTTATTTGCTAAATCGCAAGTTACCCAAGTTCAAACATAATAACCACTTTCCGCCGATTCATTAGTTAATCTATTTCGATGTTTTCTTATTATAAGTGAAACCCTCAAAAACAAACATTCAGCTGGAACAAAAGTTGCAGGGCTAACTAAAAAATCTCTAGCCATGCGAGATAAGTTTGGATAGGTTTTTGCATGCCTGCACCATCATAATTTATCTTCGTTCGCGTAAGCACGTTCTGCAGAATAATAATTATCAATTTCTTGTTTCCAGCATTGATTATGTTGATATGGACTAATATCTTTAATAAAAATACTCCATATTTTAAACAAACTGTTCAATTGTATTGAATCCTTATCAGATGATATATTTTCATTATTTGATTTTCAATTTATCAATTAGAATTGTACCATTAACATGTTATCTAATTCATCCTTATTCCAATAGTGCTCTTTATAAATTTCCTGAAATTTTTTTCAACGAAGCATTAGCCATTTCTTTTCCCCACTCAATAAGTTGAAAAGTCTTTTTTTATATTATGGATCAAGAATAAAAACAATGCAGTATATGTACAATTCATTTTTCTATAATGTTTTACAAGTTTATCTCGGCTAGTAACTAGTACTTCTTGAAAATTATAATGTATATGAGAAAGATTATTTTCTTCGTTGTATTTTCCAATTGCTTTATCGATTTTATCTAATAACATATTATCACGGCGAGGGGCAATGTAACATACTTTTCTCCGCCAGAATCGGATAATTGTTTGAACAGGCAGAGATATTGAAAATTTTTCATAATATTAGTAGCATAACAAGGCGGGTTCTAAGCCAAGGGGCTAGAGGAGAGCGCGGGGCGCGAGGGGTATTCGTAGGCGCGGGGAAGGAGGAGGAGGGCACGGGAAGTCCACGGAGCTATCGGTGTTTATAATGATACGTGCCGCCATGTTGTGGCATCACGTATCACTGGGGATTGTCACCCCATCCCGCCGCCGCCACCCCGCCACACCCTGCAGCCGCTACCCCACCGCCGCCGCGTTCAACCCAAAATGCGTTTTCGGGCCGCCGCAAATCCCGCGTCCACCCCAAAATACGTTTTTGGGCCGTTGATGCCGCAGACCCCACGACTACCTAAAATCGCGATATTATAACGCGAACAAGATGTTTTGTCTAGGTGACACATCATTGATTGTTGTGTTCTCATAGTTCTTTTTTCCAAGGTCAGAAGCATCAATAAAGATACTTATCTAGGAAGAATCGTGAGATCGGTGACACGTCGCGATACATTAAGAGAGAAACACCGATAACGAAATTTTTTTCTAAGAAGAGATCGGTGACACTACTGCGATAGGGATGATACCCAATAGGGATGATAGATAAAGGGACAAAGAAGTCACAAATGGAATATATAATGGGATCATAAGCGCGCATCTCAGTTGGCGCCTTTAAAGATTACCGAATCGCAATAAGTATAATGCAAAAAGTATGGTTGACCATCGTGCAGACGTTGAGGACATGGATGGTGTGAATGCAGGCAAGTTATTTGAAGCAATGGAAATGGAATTTGAGAACATAATGGACGATGTAGAAGTCGAGAATATCAGAAACGTTGAGAACACAGCTAACGTAGCCGAGTATATTAGAAACGTGAATCCGGAACAGTTCACGAATATCAGAGACGAAGTGTTCGAAGTACTCGAAAAAATGGAAGGAGACTTTGAGAATATAATGGACCAAGAGTCATCTGAAAGAAATGCTATCCGACGATGGATGTGCTAATGATATGAGCGAGTATGAAATCGATCGCGTAGAAAAATTTGTACATCCTTCGGAAATCCGTACGTTGAATGCTCGTACTAAACACTAAGTGATCCACAATTATTATACAACGGGTAGTGCTTTAAATGTATGCACAACATGCATTATTTATTTATTTATGTAGCTGACATTCACGATGTAAGAATGTATCACGTCAGGGAGCATGAGACTGGTTCTTTCGGTAGGCTAGATGACAAGTAGTGCACGAATTGCAGAGAATCTTTGTACAGTATATTCTCGTGCAGCATGTGCCCACTCTGCACACATTAAAAAAGAACTATTGTGAACAGTATTGGAAAATATGTGGGAAGATTATAATATAGACGATGTGCTGTATGTTCTCGATAATCCGCAAAAAGAAACACAGATGTGCGAATATTGCTGGGGCAATTCCTACGCGATCGAGAATTAGGTATACGTGAAAAACATGGAATAGTTATTAAAGAGCCTGTTTGACTGGTCTTTACTCGCGACAGAAAGTATACCTACGGTTACGAGACAAATGTTATGAGGACGATGAGTATGAAAAGAGACATTGGTGGAATAGAAAATGTCAGTGTAATAAAGGACGATTATTATTGGGCGAAGAAAATCGCAAATAAGAGCCAAGGTGCAGGTGCATTAAGATTCCCGCGGATAATGAAAAGTGTGTTGAATTACTGATTATTGATAATATATGGATGAAGTTTCGTGATCGCGATCTTGCACTAAAACTGTTTTTCAATAGATGCGACGAACAATGCTTTGAGCGAGTCGATCCGCAAGAAACATTGCACTCTAAAGAATGGTAGAATCAAGGAGGACATGGCATTGGACAGGCATTTTAAAAATATTATCAAACCTCTGTAGCAGATTGTTGACAGAGCGATAAAGAGACAGTCATGCGACGATAATGCAGCATCTGCCTCCAAGCGTGAAAGAAAAGAGGAGGAAGAGGAGGAGGAGGAGAGAGAGAAAGCGAGCGAAACGTTCGAGCGTTCCGCGACCCCGCATAATCCGATGATCGATCGCACAATCGTGTACAGCTGATAATCTCTACACCGCGTAGCAAAATCGTACCGACGATAGAATCGTTGGACAATGTTTTCGAAAACGACGGAAGACTCGCTAGCGAAAGTTCAAAATTGGTTGCAAACGTTGGAAAGTCGAGAGAGCCGGCTTGGGCCCGCTGGATCAAAAGTACATCGAAACTATCCTGAGGGGAACGCGAGATAAACAGAAGAGCGATATAGATTATGTGTACGGCGTTTACTTATACAAGGATGGATTGATATTTGGCAATAAAGGTTTCGAGGTGGATGATGCGGACAACATAATTATCGATGATATGCGATACGTCGGTACACCTGGTCTTTATGAGTTGATTTTCAAGAGAATTTCTGACGATCTTCTTTATATGGAAGAAGATAACAACAAGTACAAGAGCATGCTGCTAGCGACGCAATAGAGGATACAAGTACAAATACGTGACAATAAATATCGATCACACCCAAGGAACAGAAGAAGAAATCTGGAAAGAGATTACCTCATGCAATGATATTGAATGACAACGCGATTGATTACGCGCATTGGGATGATCCCAACGAACTGGTGAATCTTCTACGATTGTTCGACGCTTCGCACCGAGCGGGCAACAACGATAACGAGATGTTGTCGATCATCGAGGAACTTCGCGAAGCTGGTCTTATTACAAATTAAATCGCGTAGACGAAATGAGTTAGTCGAGTGGTGTCAGTGAAAAAAAAAAATTCTTTTGCTCTGTGTATTACGCGAATCCTGAAAAAGAAATTCAGAAAAGAGAAAAATTAGCTCCGAGAGACGTCGACTCGTCGAGGAATTGCATGCTCTGGCGAGAAGAAATTTTCCGCGAAGGCGCGTCATAACCGAGGATACGACAATCTGTAGCAGATATCGTCGAGATGCATCCGTATTCAGGTTTCAACAGAGACACCACTACATACTTACCGTCATCATGTGTTGAGCAAATACTCGTGGGCCGTACCGCTCAAGAGCAAGGATGGAAGCGAAATGGTTAATGTTATCGCTGAGATAATTCGAGCGAGTGGAAGATGTCTGAAAAATTTATAAACGGATATGGGGAAAGAATTTTACAACGCCGATATGCAGAAAATCTTGAAAAAACACGACGTTAATCACTATTCCATGTATTCGACGTTGAAAGCGTCAGTAGTCGAGCGAATTCAATCGCACGCTCAAAAAGGACAATGGTGGAAGATATTTACACTCAACGGCAATTACAAGTGGATCGACGAGCTACGCGTCTCGTGTCAGATTACAAAGCGCGTAAGCATCGAACTATTGGCATGCGATCTGCTGACGTAACTCCCGCGATCGCCGAAAGACTCTTGGACACGGTATACAGTGCGATAAAGATTGCTAATCCGACAAAATTTAAAGTGGGCGATTCGGTACGCGTGAGCAAGACGATTTTTGAAAAGGGTTACACAACCAAATTGGACCACCGAGGTGTTTACAATCGTTAAGATACAGCGTATCAATCCCGTAACCTATCTACTCAAGGATTATCGCGGAAAATCCGTCACTGGAGCGTTTTACGAGCATGAGTTGCATCGCGCTACTCATCCGGACGTGTATCTCGTGGAGAAAGTACTGCGATGGAAAGGAGATAAGGTGTACGTTAAGTGGTTGGGATTCGATGGATCGCACAATTCATGGATACACAAAAACAATGTCATTTGATAGAATTTTGATTCGTGTGTTTTTATTTCTACATATAAAAAAATATATCAATATAAATATATAAACTTTTTTTTTATTATCCTTTCCATCTTCATTCTGGAATATACAGATATAAATGTACGATACATAAAATATAAAATTGAAATACTAGTAGTATATAAATGTTAAAAACATACGATTATATGAAAGTATAACAATCGTAATACTAATAATAAATGCTATTATATAAAAACATGTTAATAATATTTGTATAAATGTGAAAAAAAAGTGTAAATTACAATAAATAATACATAATAGTAATATATATTACAAAGATATCCGCCAATGCCCCCACGGAAACGTTAGTCTCCGTTAAGTCCGATGTATCGTTTGTCATCGTATGGACTCGGAGCGATTTTCGATTCGGATATCGCGTACACCTCATGTAATTTAGATCGTACACGATTGATGGCAAGTCATTTTGATCTCTTCGTTCAAACACCGCGTATAAACATCGAACGTTATTGTTCGCGTTACGACGTTATTCTTTACACCTTTCACCTTTTTAGTGTTCTTCTTGCCGTCCACTCTCACCGCGTACATCTTCGCTCTCAGTCCAACAAATTCGGTCATTATCGCACCATTATTTTCATCCTTCATCAGGCCCGGTTCTTTTTGTTCGCGAGAGGCATACCGTACACGTTGTCTGCCGGATAATCGCTCGTGTCGAATCTAGCGATATCGCTTTTCATATTCTTGTAAACATCGTTGTATTCTATATGATAAAGACTGTCCGTATCGGTGTACATGATCTTTCATTTATCGCGATACATCGGTGACATGTACTCGTGGTGAAATTCGTACAAGCAGACTTTCGATGTGTCGAGTATGCACATACCCACGTAAATCGGCTTGTCGAACTTTACCTCGAGTTTGCGCATTTCAACGGCGATGAAATTTTCCGCAAAGACACTGCTGTGAAAATTCGGTTTCGCGATCATTGCCTCCGTCCGTCCCATTTTGTTATTAATTTTACATCAACGTGATTGCGCACATTCTCCATGGTCTTACCGAATACCGCATTGTTCATTAGTTTGTACAAATTTTTTTCGAAATCGTTTTTTGCGCGCGTTCTAAATTGTGTTTTGAGTTCAATGTAATCGCGGAATCATGGAGATTGAACGAATTGTAACACCCGGTGGATCTTTATTACGCGAAGACCGTGACGAATACATTGCTGTGATTGTGATAGTGGATAACGTAACGCTGTTTATCGTACAACGTCGCTAGAAGTTTATTTTCGCGCTTGCCGGGCGGTTTATCGCGCGTTGGGCAGAAAGGTAGATCAGTATGTCGGTCGTGTAGATGCTGTGGATCCTCGAGATCGACTTCGAAAATATAACCGGTGGATAAATCCGGAGCGATCGTACTCATGTCAAAGTTCGCAGCGTCTTCGAACCATTGAAATTCGGCATATGGCAAAGGTTGACACGTCGCCCATCCGTACAATTATTCACATCGTAGTACATCAAGTACGATGACGATTTCGATGGATCGAACGAATGCATGTACTTATTATTAGCCTGTGCGTATCTGCTGGAACATTGACTGAGACCACCGCGTATACCGCACTCGATGAACACGATCATATCAATGTCGGTGAGCAACTCGAATCTTACATGTGTATATTTCAGCATGGCGTCCCACGTGAAACCTGGCAATGTATAGTAATGCGCGGGATCGAGACAGTAACTCGTGATGCAACTATTGCGGAAATTTAAAAAAATATCGGCTAATAAGAAGACATCAATTTTCAAGTACAAATCACTGTGCTCGCTGAGCGTTCGGATGGAAAATCGCTGCTATATGTTCACAGCGTGACCGTAATCGCTCTCGGATCGCCTGTCAACGAACTGAAAAATAATTTGTGCGGTGGTAAGCGCGTGTCCTGCAATTTTTCGACGCAGTCAATGTATTCGTACGGAAAGACACCTTTTCGCGTGAGAAGATAGAAATCCTCCGCGCTGAGCTTGCAAAATTCGGAACGTACAATTTTTAATTTATCTTTGTTGAGATACGATGCCAATTTATCGAGGCTTGCATTTAGAAATTTGAAAGAATCAAGGAATCTTAATTTTACACCATTTTTCTGAAAATTTTCAGTTTTGTCTTTGCTATCGACATGTGTGGTGAATAAAATATATTTTTCCTTCGTTATCGGTAGTACATCTACATGTCCATCGTATGCAGTAGCAATTCCTTTAATTATAAAATGAGCATCATAGCCCGATAAACTGTAAAATACGGGGAAATAAGGAGATTTACCGTTTAGAAGCCATATCTGCGCCGAAAGTGGCCGGATTTAGCGTTTAGAGGCCATATCTGAGCCGAAAGTGGCCGGATTTACCGTTTAGAGGAAATACTTGGACCGATAATGGTGGGATTTACCGTTTAGAAGTCATATCTGGGCAGAAAGTGATCTAAATTTCCGTTTAGAGGCTATATCTGGGCCAAATGTGGCGTGATTTACTGTTTGAATGCCATATATAAGCCGAAAGTTGCCGTATTTACCGTTTATAGGCCATAACGGAATATAGATAGAATTTTTATAATTTAAGTTACAATTTGAATGCGCTGGACCGCGGTATCTACCGGTGAGATAACAATGATCACGGACTCGCGTACTGTCACGCTACAATATGCCTCCCATTGTTGTTTAGACAATGTTTCCATGGGCACGTTGACGGATACGATATTTTTCACGCGATGTGCCAAATCGTTGAGTTGTTGCGCGAAGATTGTACAGTCTTATCGCGACGGAAGTAATACGACGATAATGTGTCGTCGTACGCGCATCGTTCGTAATAGCCTATGGTAAACGCTTCATGCCGCTGATACGCGTACGTCTTTCTTATCGGATTCTGTCTTACGTAGGACGCATTCCAGATCGGCGTAGACGAACAGTACTCGTTCTCGGTCTGTAGTTGTCAAATTCGAGTCGTCCTAGCGCAGTCGTTGATTTTCTGGCAGTACACTTCGTGCAATTGTAATTTTTCGCACGAACTGAAGTAATGGAGACATGTAAATAATAGAGAAATCATTTTTCATTATTTCTTTTTTTACCATTTCTTTTTTTATTGGCTTTTCTTATTATACTTACCGATCGCAGAAAAATTTCTTGTTTTTTTTCCCACTAATCTGCGAGCTCACGAGACGATTAGATTTTTATCCACGCAAAGTGACCAAGGTTGTCGTTGTGTGAATCTTGTAGATACAGGAGATTGACGTGCTTCTTCTTCTTGTTATCGGTAAGCCGCAGAGGAATGACTTATTTATTATCGATACTGTACACGTTGATCTATACGCGTTCAACCGTCGAATTTAAAAATGTCTTTTAAAGACATTGGAAACTCAATGTTTGTAAGATTCAATAATGTCGTATAATGCGGATAGGACGATTCCCGTTCCGTATACTTTTCAGTTGGGTACAGAGTGGCGACCACCGACCACGAGAAGCATTGTCCGTCGTACGAACACTGATTATCGCTCGTTTCGTCGCTATTTCTCGAGGCACTTCGATGTGATATCCCGTGCGCAGGGGATTTAGTTTGTTCACATTGATCAAATTCAATATACGTGACAATGCCCGCTGTCGCATTCCTGGAACTCTTTGAGCAATGCTAGGATAGGCTCGATGACGTGCTGCTCGTATTACACGCGCAAATCGGTGTATCGATATATCTCGCTGTTCTTTGTAACTATGCTCTTATTAGCACGTTTATCCTTCGTCGCGAACTCACCGTTGAACGCGGTATTCACTTTTACACTACCGTGTCTTTCTATAGCGTCTCGCACTCGTTCTAGAGCTACATTTCCAGCGTCTTCTAAAAACCGTCGCGGCTCGATGTAATTAGAGTTTATTGCTGCACCTGTCAATATATGACTTTCGAACGCGGCATCGATATCTCGCCAGACAAGAGATTCGTTGCTACTCGCGTACTCACCATCAATACGTGTACGAAACGTCGCTCCAATTGCGACTTTGCACCCGCGAGTCGCGCGATCCTCGTCACCACGGATTGTCTGTGTCCAACGGCGAGGCGTGAACGCTTGGCACGACAAAGTTCTTCGAGCTGCTCGATGCATTCGTCGCAGCCACGTGAAACACTCCACTAGAGTAGCGACCTGGTGGAGTGTTTCACGTGGCTGCACTGCTCCAACAGTTCGCGTTTCACTCGCTCATGATTTTCCATGTCTTTTCACAGTTTTTAAATCACGTCGCACTCTTCCACAGAGCACTTGCACATAACTCGTTCACACACGTTGCAACATCGTGACATATCTAGAATATCATAATGTTCTAACATTTTCATTATGTTTGTTTGCGAAAGTACACTGTTCTCGATCTCCCTCGCAATTTTTTCACGCGCGCGCACATCAGCCATGTTCATCTCTGGCGAAGTATCGACAATGACTAGTCACGTTACAGTATCGCGAACTCGTTAAATCCCTTTCTATATCTCCCATCTTTAAGCGCACTGTCTATCACTAAAAATCCATATTTTTTTTGCCAACAATCGCGACACAACAAACAAAATTCATCGTACGACATATCGGTATTCACATGATCGTTGTAAACGTGTTTCAAGTTGGTACAATTCTGTTTGAACAGGATCAACAGGTTCGCATTGTCGTTTAGGTGTATAGGTATCCTCGCGTATTTCTGACAGAGATAGAAGCAGTCAACGTTCGAATGGCAGCCCATCGAAAAATATTCTCTCACCGCATCCTGCTTGTCGCATGATACATCATCAAAGATAAAAATAGAATTTGAGCGCGCCTCGCTCGATGGAACGACATCGCTGTTGTTGGAGAACGTAAAGTAGCCGATTTCATTGATAGACGTAAATAAATTTTCGAGATACTTTGGCTGTTGCAGATTTTGAGTAGACGTACATTCGCGAAACATATTTGGACTCTCGAGCAAGCTTATGAGAACGTTGGTTTTACCACAATTTGAC